ATGAGCTTATATCTTTAAAAATGTCAATAGTTCACAAGATACAAGGTAATTTCTTAATTATTGATATTTTTTAAGATATAAACTCATTTTGATGTTAGACTCATTGAGACCTTTCATTTAAGTACCCACACGGCATTATTTATATATTTTATATATATGGTATTTGTGAAATATATAAATATATAAAATATATGAAAAATTGATGTGGGTACTCAAATGAAAGGTCTTGATGAGTGTAACATCGGGATGAGCTTATATCTTTAAAAATGTCATTAATGAAGAAATTGTATCTTGTCAACTTATAAAGATAATCGGTTTAATTAAATTAATAATTTGTAAAGAAAATATTTGAAAACGTATATTTTAAAAAATAATTAAAATTATATCAAGTACATGAAGTAATCCAGTTATAAAAGCAATCCAATTGATTTTATTAAAGATAAATGATTTTTTTAGATATGTAATTCGAAATCGGAAGTGACTTAAAAAGTGGATTGTCCAATAGTCGATCGATCTTTTCAAACACGACTGAAGATATAAATCAACAAATTGTTACTCTTTAAATAATATTTATAATTAATAGTTAATGATTAATAATGTCGCGTACTGGCAATATTAATTTTTGAACGTGAAGTGCTTCTTGAAGAAGCGAGTGCCAACATGGATTATAAAGTTATGTCGAATAACAACAATAATTATCCTACACACCATCGTGAGTATTTGATAATTATTAAATATTTTTTTTCACAGTTTCAATATCTATTTAAATGCTTAATATTTTTAGCTATTTTATTGTATTTATCGCACACTTCAAACGCTTGATAAATTTAGAATTTTCATTCAATCTTTCTGGACAATAATATCCTACTGAGCATTAAAACTATTTTCATAACCATCATTATATATTTTTGACTGGCTAAAAAAATTCTTGAGCGTTCGAGGTGTGCATTTGTTTTTATATTTCCTAATTATTACTGAATAAATTAATCAGAATTTCATATAATATGTTTTCGTATAAAATCGGCTTTTTTAAATAAATAAATAAAAACAAACATTTGAATGCCCTCCAATAAAATTCAAATTTTGTTTATTTTAAATACCGACGAGACTTAATAAATAACACAAAATATATCTCAATATCCCTCAATCAAATTAGTTGAAAATTTTTCATGATAAACCGAGGTTCTTTTTGAACAATCTGGTCGACAATTATCCAGACATAAACAACCGCGTTGTAGCATTGTACATACGCGATAAATTATCCTCGTTGGTTTTATTTGTCCGATAGATATATCAACCTCCTATTCTATTATATTTGATACACAAAAATATGTAGATGTGTATTTATTTATCGTCCACTTGTTCAGTATTCCCTCGAGTTTATCAGCGTACACAGAAAATATTTGTCAAATTGCTATGCGTACCTCTCGATACCGGGTATAATAGACAGTATATATACAATGACGTACTTCACCAAAACGGTCAATAAATATTTTGTTTCCGGGCACTTCGTCACGGCTTGTAGATCCAATATTTTATTCATTTTTTATTATCTCATATAATTGTTGTTATTATACACATACTCTGTCAATGATTTCATTCAATTATCTTCCGTTTAAACTTCCAATAAATAAATAAATAAATAAATAAATTTATTTATCCAATAATTATTCAGTTGCGACAAGCTGTAGATTTAAATTTACCGAGCACAGCTTTCGTTTATTTTTTTGTTACAATTATTCACGGCGTAAAACTCTTGAGAAAATTACTTAATGGTCCTTGAGTCGCCCTTATAATTTTTGTTTATTTTTATTGAATTTATCCCGTTACGTCATTTCTATTAATTGACGCACGATCAAAGGTTATCTTGACTCGAAAAAAATAATCGTTAACTTGGAAAATATTTACTAGAAAAATTTTTTTGATAAACAAAATTTTAATATTTAAAGACTTTAATTTTTTTGATTTATGTTAACCTTTTGTTCTATTATTTTAAATGATGAAATGATTGAAAAAGTATAGCAATAATAAATCAATAAAATAAAAAATGAATAATACTTTCATCATACCTTTTGTCAAAGAAAACATTTAAACATTAATATCACATCTAACGTCTATAAATAGGATAAACTTTCTCTCGCGTGTACATCACCAGGTAAATTGATTCTTAGAAATATTATAAAATAATACAAATAGTGGTATGCTAATTTACCAGGATTATCTTTCCAAATCAATTGAGTCATCAGCGGTCTGACGAAATTTATAAATTCTCGGTCTATAGCGTTCAAACCATGGAAAAACCAAACGATAAATAATTATAAGTTTGTTTTTTATTGAACGACAATTTATTCTATTTAAAAAAAAAATAGAATTTACTGGTTACTATAATAGTGACTAATTACGTGTTCAGTCTTGTTAGTTGATGATTATACCGCAGAATTAATTAAAGCTGGCAGTTGGCCAGACCTCTGTGTTTTCTTTGCTAAAAATTTGCTTACAGTCACGCGTACCCATTTATACACACCCCCTTAGCTCCTTCCTCGGGCTTTTTTTGATTCTCCCAGTGTACTCTCCGAAAAATAAACTACTGTCATTGCTCCCTTTAGCGTCAGACGCGTTAATCTCTCCTTTTAAATAAAACTCAACACTATAAATAATTATATTCAATTTAAATATTGTATTTATGAAAAACAACTTAACTTGACTTATTTATTCAAATTTGAATTTTTTTCAACTATTTATAATTTATTATATAGTTCTCAGAATATTTATAAATATTTTATGTGATATTAAAGAGCTACATTATAAATCTTCTGAAAAACATCATTAATCTTTTTATATTTACAATAATATTAAAATTAACTCACTTTTGTTTATACAATAGACATATTTATATTGAATTACGAAATAGTGAGTATCAAATTTCAAATTTAAATAAAAACCTAACAAATTTTTATTGACAGTAGTCCGAAAAATTAATTAAAAAATTTAAACATTCATTCTTTTATTTCATGCTTTATTAAATTCAACAGTTGATGTTAAAAAATAAAAACATTTAACCATAAAATAAAGAGAATAATTTAACGGTTGAAGAAAACAGCATTGCGGATACAACTTTAAATATAACGTCTTTGATCTCGAGATCAGTGATCAGTCATGTTTGTATCATATCAATTTTATCGATTATTATAATTTATAATATTGATTGAAATATTTAAGCCCGTGAGATCAGATAATTGAATTGTAACTCGAGTTAGTTCAAATAAATGGGAAAAGGGTAAAAAGGGTCAAAAGGTAACAATTTAAGCTGGTAGTATATAATCATACTTGTTTGATTCATTAACTTTATATACATACTCAGCTACACGCCAGTGGTTATTGATTGTGATCGAGCGTAAACATTTATTTTACATCAACTTACTATCCGTGTACGATTTTATTCAATATACTTTCATTTAATATTTACTTGTTATTTTTATTTATAAAAATAAACTATATTTATTTTTCTTTAGAACAAATTGAACTTATAATACACACGTGTGTGGCGGACATCAGCGTAAGAGCTATGTTTATTATTATATTGGAGACCAATGTACTTGTTTGTAAATACATACCCAGTTATATAACGCGCTATATTTATAAACTCACTCATAGTAATAATAATAATAATAATAATAATAATAATAATAATACTATACCTACCCGGCATTGTTGACAATTATTTTATTGCAATAACTATAATCATTTTTTAATACTTTGTTATTTGTTGAATTATTTATACTCGTGTAAAATTCACAAAGGTGCATGCAATCAAGATAATTCGTAATAGCCGGTAATTTAAGTGATGAAAATAGCATAATTATTACAATTATTGAAAGTTAAACAAATGAAAAAAAAAAAAGAACGAGTGTGATTCGATTGAAATAGTAGTTTGTTATGTGTTGTACAGTACGAGTGAAGACTATTTCATAAGTATGACATTTGTTATAGAGTTCTCGAGGTATAATTTAGTGTCGGAGTATGTTGTGTGTCTTGTATGTCTTTTTAAACAACTCGAGAGAGAGAGAATGACACGTGGCTGTGTGTAATTAAGGTCAGGAAACAAACAACAATGGAGGACGAGGACAAGTATTCTTGTTTTTGCAAACCTCTATCTAATATATGCAATTATCTGTCGAGATGAGCTTTTTAATGGACTTTAAATTAATAATAAACACGGAACTTTGAGAATTTAGATCTTTTAGAATATTACTCTTGTTTTCTTATAAATATTGTGCAATAACGCGGCGAGAGCAGACAAAGCTTTCGTGTTATTTCAAGGAGTTAAATTTCAAAGAAAAAATAGCAATTAAGTAGCTGAAAAAATTACCCATCATTTTAATAGCTAAAAAAAATCTTACGTAACTTAAAAAAAATTATAAGCTTACATATTTTGATATAAAAATAAAATATTCGATTTTCAGTGGCAATAAAGATAAAAATAAAAAATAAATAAGAGGTGTGGACTTGGCATTATTCAAAACTATTTAAATGAATTCTATTACCGGTATTGATGATACTATTTGTAACAAGATGTATTTTTTAAGGTATATAACATAATAGTATAGCATTATATGGTTGTCTACCTGGCAGCTGCAATTCAGGAAGAATTATACAGTGGAGCTGGTGTGTTGTACGTGTGTCTACAGTTTGCAGCCTGCAAGAGCATAGACAGATAGAGAGAGAGAGAGGAAAGTAATAATGTTGGGCGAAGTAAAACCGAGTTAAAGGCAAGTATTAGTGATGTGATGAACAACAGTAATGAGTCACGTCAGTAGGTCAAACGAGCGAGATAACGAGCCGATTCATCGATGCGAACCTTGTGCCGCTTGCTCTCGGGCCAGATCGGCCATCAGTGATATCGGATTATGGCTCATGATTATATACCGCGAGTTAAGCGTTGCACTTTATTTATGCAAGCCCCAATCGTTTGGTTCTACGCACCTCTGACTTATCATACATTGTGTCTGCTTCAATATTATAACTTAAATTTAAAGTTGATCATCCTTCTGTTCTCTTATTATATTATTATAATATTTGTTGCTTTGCTTTCTGTCATGCCGATAATCAAGATCAACACAGTCTATTTTATTATTACTGTTATTATTTTTAAACATTAAATTAAAGACAAAAATTGCCCTAAAGCTTCTTAATATTAATATTAATATTAATATTAATATTATTAAAACAGTTTAATAAAAGACTTGTTACGTGACCACTTCCTTCTATTCTGGAAAGTATAAATCGCATTGCATACAATAATAGACCGGGACGATCGATGTATCATACGAGACACGAGATGTACAGTGATTAGATTTTAATAATTAATTTAATACTGTTACATCACAAAGTAGTCGGTATTGATCCACTAAAACCCGTTGTGGTTTTCGAGCCTCTACACACACTTGACCATTACACGTCCTGGCCAGAACGACATCAGACGCCTATAGTAGTTTCCTAGCTGAGTATATATGTACATATCACCAACAGAGAGCGAGTCTGAGCCACATATCCACATATCTCTATTATATATACTCACGACATTCAGAGCAAGCCTCTAATACATTGTGGGATATCATCATCATGAAGTAGAATTAGCTACAGCGGAATGTCAACAATCTATTGGGTTTCCCGAGCTTATGGCGAGCTTTACTTAACTTTTATTTATTTATTTTTTCTTCTCTTTTATATCACACTTCACAGCTGGAAGGATCAAGCTTTTTTCTCTTCTTTTCTTTTTTTACTTGCGATTTATTAGCCAACAATCCGCGAATTTAAGGGCTTATACGGGCTTAGAATTAAAAAAAAAGTTAATTTTTTTAATATACATTCTCTAAAAAAATTTGAACGCTTTTTTTAAGTAATTTTTTATTAAAATTCATATATCTATTAATAATTAAAAAAAATAACTAATTAGTAAAGTTCAAAGTCATTAAAAAGGCCTCTTCAGAGAAAATGATCGAAAAATGGCATTTTTAAGCGTTTTAAGTACTTATAACCCCTTAAAAAACCGGTAATTACTTTAAAAATCCAAGTGAATACTTTTTAGAGTCTAAAAGTTTATTAACCTCTGGGTTTTGTTATCTCGAGCTTAGTTAATTTGTTGTTTTTAAAATTTTTTTTAATGATCGAAATGTCAACAACGTCGTCGTCGGCAATCTCACTGACCGATGACCACCCAGTTGGATAAACACGACTCCCAAACTCTCTGTCTTTGCTTATTTATTTTAACCTCCATTTAAGGATAAACTGGATACACGAATCTTGATCTCAACTGTGTTGTTATATACAAAAATTCTTCAATTAAAATTTATCTCAAGGAAGCCGAATCCCTTTAAAAAATTCTCTGATAATTTTTTCGTATCCTTCTTCGATAATAATAATAATAATTATTAATCAATAAATTAGAATATAACCAGGAATAAGGTACTAATAAAATTTTTGTAATGGTTATTAAAGAATCGCTTTCACTTGACGGTTGTAAGTCAATTTTTGCTGCGTAGTTATTTCGTTCGAGGGAACGGGCTGAAGGGTTAGGGGGGTGAACAGGACGAGGAAGAAGGGAATAGAAAATAAATAGAGAAGAAGATAGAAAAAGATAGTGTGTAGAACTAACAATATACAATACAACTAAAACTAAACGGTGAGATTGCAAGTGGTATAGGTAGACGAGTAGAGTAGGCCAAGGCTACGTGAGTTCGCGATGTCAGGTCTCTTATATTTATATTTTGTATTTTATATACGTGGTGTTTGTTCTAACTGGACTCTGTCTATAATATTGTACATAGCACACATTTTAGAGGATTCTTCACTCTACTCTTCTACTCTTCTCTGCTACTTTGTTATGTCTACACTGAATTTAATTTAACCAGATGATATTTTAAGTCTTCTTTGTTTTACTTTCTTTTTTATATTATATTTTCTAATTAATAAACCAGCCTGAAATTGTTACCGTTGCTAAAAGTTAATTTGAAATTTGATCGACTATTGATTAATCCTCGGATTATTTTGTATCAAAGAAATTAATGCGCGCTTTTTAAAAAATTTTAATTTTAGAGACAAAAAATTACACGCATTATTTTTTGTTTACTCTAAAAAAATGATAATAGTAATCGATTAATTCAACAATAATATTTATACAAACGCTCGACAGTATAATCCACACAAGACCGCAAGATAAATTAATAGAAAAAATAAAAGTAGTTAATTATAAAAGGTGTACATAATTTAATGTTTAAAAAATAAAATGCCTTGAGTTATATTACTTAATATTTTAATTTTAATAAAGAACAATACCGGATGTTAATATGGTTTCAAAAGATTTGCGATGAGTCGTTATATATTATGGATGTATGGTGTTGTATGTGTGTACGGATCATGCATTATGAGGATGAAAGAGAGAGAGGTATTAAAAATATGAGTAAGGAGTGACTTGGGGGCTTCCACGCTGTGTATCGTATATCTAGCAATTATTGGTGCTAAATTTTTACGACCTACCGGGATATAATACATGTAGATGGGGGAGGAGCCACCGTGTCTGACTTCTACCCAACCAAATTGCATCGTCATTCACGAAAGCTATTCTTCCTTCAAGAGAGATAGTTTTTAAGTCGAAGCGGAAAAAAGCATACAACAATTTATTATTTTTTATTTTTTATCTTAAATTTAATGGAATCGGATCTCAAATGAGATTTTAGCGGCTTAAAATCTACTTGAACAAAATGAATAATTTTTAGATAATAAAATATTATTATTATTATTTTAATATTTTATTACGGTCTTTTAATTTAATGGCCCAATTATTGTTAAAATTAACCGGAAATAGGATCGCGTGAAGATGATTTTCTGGATGGTAATACGTCTGGTGAAATATGTATGCTTATAGAGCGAGTGTGCTCGTAAAAATTAGCATACGTATCGTCTGCCGACGAGTTCACAGCAATTGCTGTAATGAACACTACCTGTGCTCTATTTTATTTTAACTCTCTGTATAACTATCGTATAATATGGATTTCAAAACTTGGTCGTGCTCCTGTGAAAACTATTCTATTCTATTTTTTTTTTTTTTTTTTTTTTTGTTTTTTTTTATTTTTTTTTATAAAACAAACCAACAAATTAGAGAAAGTTTTCCTGATAAAACTAAATGACAAATAAATATTCATGCTGAGTAACGTTATGCACTGTGAATTACCAAAATAAATACACGAGAAAGTTTTGCAATTCCAGAAATAGATCTTTTACATTTAATTTGTAAAAAACATAAAATTATGTCATAAATATTTTTTTAAAATATGTAGCGTATTAATAAATGTTTTTTATTTAAAACAATAATATATTGTTATTTTATATTTACGATGCGGTTTACTGGTAACCCGAGCACTTGAGTAGTGAATGAATACATTTGTGAAATGTTAAAAATTTTACTTCGCACAATTTTCCATGTCCTTGAGTAAGACCGACGTACTTTAATGTCTTTATAAGAGTAACGTAATTATTTTATTATTTTTAAAATAATTTGAAATTTAAATTAAATATTTTTTTTGTTATCTATATTATTAAGAGAATAAGAAAAATTCTGTCTCCAGAATGGTCATATGATAAAATCGGTTTTTTTTAGTGAAAAATTAGATACATAATTAAGAAATTACCTTGCATTTTGTAAACTATTGACATTTTTAAAGATATAAGCTCATCCCAATGTTACACTCATTGAGACCTTTCATTTGAGTACCCCCATCACATTTTCATATATTTATATATATTACATATATGTATATATGAAAAATATATGAAAATGCATGTGGGTACTCAAATGAAAGCTCTTGATGAATGTAACATCAAGATGAGCTTATATATCTTTAAAAACGTCAATATTTAAGAAAGTACAGTGCAGCTTAACAAAAGTCAATATTTAATAAAGCAAAATTTTATTTATTTATAGTTCACAAGTCACGGCAGTCAGATAGTGACTACAAGGTTGCTAGTAAAAAGAAATTTATGAATTATAATTAAAGTCAATAAAAAAAATTTGGGGTAATTTATAGCGAAAGATACTTTTTCAGCTCCGATAATTATTAATAATTTTTCCCTAGTTTATATTGAACCGAACCGTATAATTAAAACAGTTATGTTTATTTTCAGCTTGACTTTTAACTATTAACGTATCATCGCTTGATAAGTTAAGGATACAGACGAGGTCACGAAGAAAATCTATATAACAAAAATTTATCAACCGGTTTACTGCGGACGATATACGAGTTTCGCCACTACCGCCGGTATTATATAATATAATAGACCAGGATTTAACCTGCTCTCCGTTCTTGCAGAGAGTAATTGTGAATTGAAGTGCGCTAGAATTTGACCTTTAGGCTTTCTCGTTAACTGCTTTGACGTACGATAATGTGAGATTACGAATCGAGCGTCACAATCTCAATATAAACCATTTTATTGGTTTGTTTATTGTTCCTGAGTTGTTTTTATTATTTTTTCCACTACGTATAAGCTATTTTCAATGTCTCAACACAATAACTAAATAGTTATTAGTTATTACGTATTGCAAGAACAATCAACAGTACCTCAACAGTCACCTTGGATTTTAATATCGAGGCTCTTTTATTTACCTCTGCTTCAATGTCTTAATTAATGGACTATTTAAACGTAATAATACTTTTAATTAAAATATATTTTTTTATAACTCACCAGTCGTTGATCATTTCGGGGATGGGCACTCAACAACTTGGTTCTTTCCGGCAACCTGTGATAAATGAACAAAAATTTTTATCTAATTTTCATTTTCATTTTTAAATAATCAATTATATTTTTTAAAAATAAACTTATACTGAGAACAATAAACGATAATAAAAATAGATTCTTTGCTATGAATATTCATAAAAATTAATTTAGCCAAAATTAAAAAATTTTTAGTTTTTTTTTTACTAAAAAATTTATTACAAAAAATGAAAAAAAAAAATTTCATTTGTAAAAAATTTGAAAAACTGTAGGTCCAATTAAAAAAAAAATATTTTTTAGTTCTAATAAAATAAATGAAGCGAAATTAACAAAATTAAAACCGTCGGCTAATTTTAGTATTATTAAATTAAGTATTCAATTTTATTTGAAGATAAAAATATTCATCTGCCGATTTCATTATCTCTAAATGAAGTTTAATTTTCATTTTCTAAATATTTCACCTCACTTCACTTGTGTCTTTAACTATTGACTATTGATATATCAGAAAAAAAAAAAAATATTTAATATTTACTGATAAAAAAAAATGAAATTAATTTAGTCGAAGTCTAAAAATTTTTTATATTTAAAAAATTATTAGAAAAAAATTAATTTGTAAAAAACGAATAATTTAAAAAAATATTTTTTTGTTTCAATTTAATAAAAAGAAAATGAAATAAAAGCTTGAGTATTATATAAAAAAAATAATATAATTAGAACTGTCATTCATAATTTATATACCGGCAGTAGAACATTTGACAGAAAAATACCGAGAAATTTTCTCACATTATTTCCACGAATTTATCGATCGCCTCTACACAACGTAATATAAATACATCTCTACCGTCTCTCGAGTCACTAACCCATTTATTTATTGTTATAATATTATATCTTTATTCTTTATTCACCTCTTTACACACTTAACTACATATTGTTTTGTCTCATACCTTCACTTTGTCTCCGCAGTTGCTGCTGCGTAGCTCCTGAGGCTGTGTTTGTCTCGCGTTCTTATTTACTCCAGTCCAATAAACGTCACCCTATTTTTTTCGTCTTATTAATCTATTAGTATTTATTTTTCATCAATTCTGTAAATACATTAATTAAAATTGATTGTTATTTATTTTTTATTAATTAATTTAATTAATTTTTGAGTCACTCACCACCACAACAATGATTACACTGCAAAATTTTAATTCTCCAAAAGTCACTAGGCGTCGCTGGCGGTTGAAAAAAAAATATTTAAATTCTATTGGCTGATAATCTCAATGGTTTTTGTTTTAGTTACAAATTTTTTAATTGGTCGGATTCAAATTTTCGGCCAATCAGTGCGCGTGTCTAAAATCACACCACCAAGAAAATTCTCGAACAATTTTGCATTAGTCATTATGGCTTCCACTTCGGTAACAGTCACATCGCGGGTGTTTCGCGGGTCATTTATTATTTAATAATATTATTTAATTAATAATTTATTAAACTAACAGTATATTGACAGTTTTTAATTAAAATAAAAGAACAAGTGATATTTATTACAAAATTTAATTGAATAAAATAAAAAGCGCGAATGGAAATAAATTTAGCCATCTAAAAATTTTTATGATTTTTTTTTTATTAAAGAATTATTTTAAAAAAATTTTTTCATTTGTTAAAAACTTCCGAAACTATAAGTGCAATTTTTTAAAAATATTTTTTAGTTATAATTAAATTAATTAAGCAAAATTAAAAAATTAAAAATGTCGGCTAACTTTATTATTAATGATATTAAAGTTAACCGACATTTAATAATTTTTGATTTTTTTTTATTAAGTAAATTAAGTCTAAAACAATATTTTTAAAAAATTGCACGTGTAATTTTTGAATAAAACAAATTATAAAAATTTTAAGATGTCAGCTAATTTAATTTTCATTATTATTATAAAGTGCGAGAGAATAAAATTCGGGCGCGGGAACAATGAGTTTAGAGCGATAGTATACAAATAAAAAATAAAAGAAAGAAAAAATAAAATCCGTAAAATGTAAATATACATGTTATGACTTGCTAAATATATGGGTTAGTGACATTAGGAGATGGCTGAGTAAAGATGTTAATATTATTTTAGTCTAGAGCCGATCGATAAATTCGTGGAAAAAAACGAAGAAAAAATTTCTCGGAATTACGTTGTCAAATGTTCTTTATTTCGTTTCTACGTCTCAATTCAAATAAGAAATAAAACACATGTCAGTCTATTTGTTATTTTTATTTCATAAGCATTCAGTAATATTTGTTATTTATTTATTTTTTTTTTTTCGTAATTAATTAATTGTCGCGAGTTTATTTTTTTTTTAATGAAGAACAAAGTAATCAGTGTGAAACACGAGTGGTGAGAAGTGAAGTGAGGTAAAAATGAAACTTCAGTTAGTGAAGCTTTTAGTAATAATAAAAACAGCTGACACTCGACCATTTTTATTTTTTTTCTAAATAATTACCTTTAATATTCGAGCGATAATTCACTATTCTTATTAAAAACAAGTGTCGGGTGTCTGATATTGTCAGTATAAGTTTGATTTATAAAAATACTATTCAAGTGGTAGAGTACTTGACATTTTTTTATAAACTCTTATAATTATGTTTGTTAAGATGAAACAATCAATTTTATCAAACAATACTCAGGTTAAAAATACGAAATAGATAATTATTAATTTAATATTTAAATATTATGAGTGGCTTTTTTATCGTAAATTGTTGTCTATTTATTCACATTTGCACTTGTGTTGTCTCTTTTTTTAAAATACATACAATATAAAAGATCACCGGTGTACGTAAAAGATTTAATGTCACGTAAAGACAGTGATCGTCAAGCGTCAAGCCCAGATTGTATAAACATGTAAATATTTGGGACAAGAGGGCTCTTATTTGGCACCTGAATTATATGGCTTAATTAAATTTACTCACTCTTTTATTAAACACTTTAAATTATCAAAGCTAGTTTTAATAATTATGCTTATATATGTATTTACTTATTAATTTATCATTGTAATTTAATTTCAATAAAATCAATAAATTTTTATATTTTTCCAGATTGGATACCTAAGATGTGCGAATGTCTACAGAATGTATCGGTGACCTTTCCCATGACTACTTCAGACCTTTCCTTCAGGAATTGGAGCTATTCTTCGCTGGCAAGAAATGTATCTAGGACCAGGTTTCGAGACTTCAGAAGGAAAAGCGGCTATGAAACAATTCCCGATGATGATAGACAGGTTATTCTTTTTTTTTTTTTTTTTTCTAAATATAACTTTTCATATATAGTTTCATATCATTCTCACCAAATATTCAATTTATGATCATAAGTATTTAGGCTGCATTTGAAAATGTTCTATTTCTAGACACATAATTAAGAAATGACCTTGTATCTTGTGAACTATTGACATTTTTAAAGATATAAGCTCATCCCGATGTTACATTCATCAAGACCTTTCATTTGAATACCCACATCAATTTTTCATATATTTTATATATTTATATATTTCACAAATACTATATATATAAAATATATAAAAAAATACCATGTGGGTACTTAAATGAAAGGTCTCAATGAGTCTAATAACATTGAAATGAGTTTATATCTTAAAAAATGTCAATAATTAAGAAATGACCTTGTCTCTTATGAACTATTGATATTTTTAAAGATATAAGCTCATCCCGATGTTACATTCATCGAGACCTTTCATTTGAGTACCCACATCAATTTTTCACATATTTTATATATTTATATATATTATATATATGTATATATGAAAAATATATCAAAATTGCATGTGGGTACTCAAATGAAAGCTCTTGATGAGTGTAACATCAGGATGAGCTTATATCTTTAAAAACGTCAATATTTAAAAAAGTACAGTGCAATTCAACAAAAGTATTTATAATTCACAAATTACGGTAGTCACATAGTGACTGCAAGGTTGCTAGTAATTAACAATTTTAATAACTATTTTTTAGATTGAAATGACCTTTCACAATGTTGACGAGTCGTATTCGATTGTCGAGGTTGAGAGAAATTTGCGAGTTGACAATCTTTGCGAGTTGCTGAGGATCAAGAATCAATTCAAACCTGGCGACTGGAGAATCGTCGAAACTTGGCCAAAACTCGATATCACTATCGGTAAATTTTAATGTTTATTCATTTTTAAGAGTAACTTAATATTTATATCCGAAACTCGATATTCAATTAGCATTTTGAGTGAGCCAGTAATTAGCGATTAATAATATTTATTTTTTATTAATAAGATTATTTTTTTCATACAAATAGTTAACTTGCAAGAAGAATAATAAATCAGTAGTTTTATTGAAAGAAAAAGTATAAAAGAAAAATAATTTATTTAAGATAAATTCTGGTGTGAATAAACAAATTTGATACCGTGTGAATCTTTAAGAAAAATAGTAAAGTTTAGTACATAAAAAAGTTATAAATTCTTTAAAACAGCATCTTGACGTATTACTTCGCCGAATACTGCGCAGTATAGCTTCTACTGGAGATAAAACAGGATTGAATAGAAATAAAAGAAGCACCGATAAAGCTTTTTTGATTTAAAAACTTTTTATCAAATTTTCATGGCTAACAACTGTAATAACCATCACATTTTTGGTTTCCCCTTCAACAAAGTCTCGAGGTAGTAAAGATTACATACGCAAGTAGAGTTAAATTTATATATGAAACGAGAGTTTATTTTTTGCGATTTCAATGGAAATTTTTTTATTTCTTCTACATACCAAATGTGAGAAAATTAAAAGTCAAGTCAGGATTTTTATTAAAGAACATGAAACGAAAAAAGCTCATTTTATTATTATTTATTATTAGTCACTAAAAAAAGAAATTATTTTTAATGAATTATTGCACGGAAAACAGCTGTTGCATACTGATGCCCAATAAATAAAATCACCACGAGCTCTTAGTTGGCGTTTAAAAAAAGCTTATTGATCGAACCAAAATTTAGCCGACTAATATTTATATAATAAAATATAAATACGCCGGGTTAAAATTATGCTAAAGTGAATTTAATCACTGGAATGAATGAATAAATTAATATTATATGTTATTTTCATATTATTTCTTGAGGTCGTTGTACTTTTCGTTTTTAGAGTTGAAATTGATGTATATTCTCAAAATATTAGCAGATAGACAACTTCACCTTCAATCTGCATCAAAACAAACAATAATTATTTTTTTATTTAAAAACCGCCAATTCATCGTGATACTTGTAAATATTTCGATCGAGTTACGTCTCAATTTAGTTCAATCATAAACAGCTTATTCATTCATTAAAAAAATTTATTCAATTCGAATACAAATATTTCAATATCCACAATAATAACAGTGAATTAGTGAATGACAAACAAAATTTCCAAATCACATATGCTTCTAAGTATACAGTAAAAAATTTTGCGTCATTGCGTCAAAAAACTTAGTGTTAACAATTTTTGTGTTCAATATTGGACATTTTAATGTGTAAATTTAAAATTTATTCTATTAAATTAACACAACAAAAATTAACTTGAATTAAGATACTTTACAAAATTCAATAAATAATAATAAAACTTAAATAAATGAGTGTTGTTTAAATATCTAGATTAAATAAGTGGTCAAGAGTAAAATTCTTGAATCAAGAAAATAATTTTGAAGGTCATTATCTTGAATTAAAATGAAAAATTCTCGAATCAAGTAAAATTTATTTAAACCAAGTGAAATTTCTTGTATAAGAATTTTTTTTTCCGTGTAAAATTTTTAACTGTTCTTCGGTAAAATTATTGGTGAATAGAACACTGTCATTGAAAACGGTGCCAAAGTGGCGTATAAATCGACTAGAGTTCATGACCGCATTCTTGTTGCTCAGTTCTCGTTTGTCTTTCCTTATTTTTTATTAAAAACGGAAACTATTAACCTTGCAATTTAAAACAATCTCCAATTGTTTTTTTAAAGATTGAAAATTTATAAAAAAGGAGGAATGATTGCAGAAACTTGAGGATGATTTGTCATTTCTTATAAGTACAAGTGTCAGAATAATCGGATAACGCAGGATGTCCGGCGCATTATTACGCATTTCCTTTAGGACTTCCTCGTAATTGGTTCCTGGTCAATGCCGAGACGACTTTGACTTCCGGTGTTTTAGCGTCGTTGAGTGCAAATGTATTGCACATTACAGTATAGATGTCGAATACCAGTAAAAGTATTAAATGTATTGAGAATAATATTACGAACAGGTTTTCCTCAATATTTATTCAACGTTATCAGTAGCGACGGATGTAAGCTGTTTAATAAATTACTTCAAAGCTATTTTAGAGCAATCTTCTTCATGTTATTGCTGTTTAGCTGTTGTTATCATTATTATTTAATATTGTCCAGGTAATTGTCTTTTGAAAGTTGAGTTAATAAAATAAATTAGTACTTAGTATCGATAAACAGTGTAATTGCGTCATAAACTACAGTTTCTCTTTGCATTATATTACGGTCTGTATGCTCGTTTAGTTATAAATTGTAACAAATGCTAATTGCAATCTTGTAGCTTGAAAAATGATAATTACTTTCTTAACAGCGATAAAAAAAAGAAAGAAAGAAAATAAACATGCATGAATTTATTAATTAATAGACTGTTGATGAGAATATAAAAAAATTAAAAAGTAGGAAGTAATAGGGGTCTAATAAAGTTGTTTTTTTTTTTCCGTGGGATCTTACAAGTATGTAGAATACTCACAATGTAAGAAAAAAAATTAATAATAAAACACGGCGGTGTTATTGATGCGTTGTGTGACTCAAGCGGAAACTTAAAAAAATCGCGTGTGTTGGGTAAACTACACGCGACTCATTTATTCATTCTTGACTTGTTTTTTTTGTTACATTATTTAGTTTGCATAATTAGCGTAACATTTTAATTGGCATTCTTATAGAAAAAAATGTGATAATTAATTGAGGCATCGAGTGATGGTTATCGAGATAAATTAAGTGGTTAAATAGTAATTACAGATATAAATCCGTCTGGCGTTAATTGATTAATTATCAATAACATCAACAGATAAACGTGTTTGTTTTATTTTATTTTATATGCTCCGAGAAAATTTATGTAATTATTTTTTTTCACTGTTTCCAGAGAGAGTCCTGGAGAATCACGAAGACATTTATGTGGTCCACAGAGAAGGGGAAAGGTTCGAAGGCAGCGAGGACCGGAGATTTGTCTTCAAACTTGTATCCGATGACATTGAGGACTACGTCAACAATCCTAGGGTAAGGATATTGGATATATCTTTTCTTTTTATGAAATTTTGAAGTAGGGAAGATAAGTTTACATTACACTGTACTAACTGTTAGCTTTCTTATTGATCAAATGCAAAAGTCAGCTTTGTTATCGGTTGGTTAAAGTAGAATTCTATGCTCCAGTCGGCAATTCAGTAATCTGGGCTGCTAATTGGTAACTGTCGGTCGGTATACGCGATTTCTTCCTTTTCAATGACTAGAAATCGAGGTACCGTGTGGTAAAGAAGGATTTGGTCGGCATAGAAATTTTTATCAGACATTGCTAGGGATAAAGTAGTTCTCTGACTATCAAATTATTTTCGCTGTCGGTAACAACAGTTTCGATAAAGACATTGAAAGATATAAAGTTTCTCTTCATAAGCACAATTTATAAAAACATTTCTTGAAACTGCGAGAGATAACGCTGCGATCTTGCAAATTGAAACTAATTAACTATCCTGATCAATTAGCTCGTCTTGGTTGTCAAACTTATTAAGAAACTTCTAAAGTTTAAAAAGTTTAATGTAGAATTATTATTCATACAATCTAAGAAGAAAAAAAAATATCCATTTCTGTAATTAAATATTTCTGTAGACTAATGGGGTTTTTAATTTTTTCAATGAATTTATAATTATACTGAATAATTAATACTGGATGTTTTATTAAAACATTTGTAGAAATTTATCATTTCACAGTTTCCATTGAATATTTTTTTTTTTAATTTAAACTTTGAAAAATTTCACAGTCCAAATAATTATTTCAGCAGTCACTGTTTAAACCAACAGCATCAAATTAAGAATCACAATTTATTATTTCTTCTCTCGCTAAATTGTTTAGGAGGCTTTTCATTTTTTTTTTCATCCTCTCTTTAAAATCCCGGCTTTATTTCTATTCACTTTTTCCTTATAATCTTTTTGTCTTAAGACTGTAAGAAAGTTGTGTGCCAGTCTGATGACCGAACAAGCGTCTGAAAGAATTTTCAGTACGCGGGTGTGAGTTTTAATTTCCGTAATTGCCGCGGTATACTTCCTTCGGCGCCATTTTTTTAGTCTATCATTTCCACTCGGTGAGATGGTAAGTTTGCGGGGTGGAATGTACCTTTCGTTTTCGCTTTGTCTTTTTTACAAGTTCTTATTCGCCGCGTCCAGTGTAAGCTTGCAAGCATACCGAGCTTTGTGTGTGTGTCTTGTAGAGCAGGAATATTGCGCTCACTAAAAATGCGAATTTCCGGGGTGAACAACTTGCATGAATAATCAGCAAGATTGCCAGAGAGAAAAAGCATATACAAAGAAAGAAATAGTATACTGCTGTAGAGTAAAGGTGTCGGAAATGTGTGTAAATATTTTTAAAAAATTGCTAAAATTATATACGTATAAATAATATTTTATTCAAAAAATTTGTACCTGTCGCTTGTGAAATATCTTATTTAATTAATCACCTTTATTATTACTGTAATTTTGTAAATTAATGAACAACCGACGGACGCAAGGTAAAAAAATTCAACTGTCTGCATGAGTAATATAATTATTATTAATATATGTATGCTGCAATTATATTTAAGCAATAGTGCGTATGTGAAATTCAAGCACGAGATTACACGTCGATCATCACTGTACTGGCTATTAAAATTCGATTAGCAAGTAATATACTTTCACTGGGTTGCGCGTTAAAGTTAAACGTAATTGCTGTTTCTTTCTTTCCAAGTTAAAATGTTGATGGTTCACGTTGGGTGTGATATTAAAACGTCATAGAATATATAACATAATTTTTCATTTTTTTTTTTCGATTAAAATAATCTCTCTACTCTAAATGACCTCGTTCTTTATTTCAGACTAGTTTTCCGGAGGATATGGTCTTGAAGATAAAGGACGAAGAAGAGCTCAATAGAGGGGAACACCTCGCGGTAAGATATTTATTACTAAATAATTTAAAAAATAAAATAAAATTCTTGGGCGATAGAGTAAAAGTTGTACTAGTTTTAAAAGTTAATAAAAAGTATTCCAAATCGTTTAAATTTTTCAAATAGTTTTCAAAAGTTATAACAGTTATGAACTTCTCTAATTTTAAACATTCCGTTCTGAAATGCGCGGTTGAAATTCACGGCATTAACATTGAGTTGAATTATAATAACTCCTTTTTGTAAAACTATTTTATAATTGCAGGATCGTGATGAACGTCTTGCTCAAACACTCCCCAAATTCTGCGACACCGTGTGGGTAGCTGATAAGGATAACATAAATGTCTGGAAAGCGGTCCTGATGGTTCTGACGGATAGAAAGCTGTACCTCATCGAAAGGGTGAGTCCAATAAAATTTTTAATCTATTAATTAATATTCAATACTGGAGTTTCATTGAATTAAATTAATATTAACGGAACGATTTAACGAAAATTCAACCTGCCGTTATGAAACATAGTACTTTAAAAGTTAAAAGTATTGGTTAAAAGTAAAGGCGATACTTTTAAATAGATAATTAGTTAGTTAAATCCAATAGGCAATTAAATCTATTAAACTATCTTAAGTAGTTAACCAAACTATCTTTTTTTTACACTTTAAGCTCCGATGTAATTACTTTAACGTAAAAGTTAACGTTATATATTTTTATCCCTTGCACTGAAACTTTAGTTAAACGCTTTTATCGTCCAGTATAATGATAATTACATTTTTTCTTCAGCATTGTCATCTAAAAAAAAATGATAATGGACAAAAATAATTAAATTCACTATCAATAATTAAACAGGTTAAAGTGATTTGATTGGAATAGAGGTAGAGAACCTTTTAACGTCAAAAGCTGACTGAATAAATTATGACATTAATTTTAAATATGATATTAAAAAAAAAAAAAAAGATATTTTGATTGACAGTAAATGTTTCGAATAAATCACATGTAAAGCTTTCATATCACGCGATTTGACAGAAACTTTATTACAAGTTTACTCAGTCGATCTTGATTTTCAGATTATTGATTATAAATTTGTCATGCAATATTTTAGCCAGTACAATCGATAAAATACCGATTAATATTTAAGAGTGTACTAAACTTTGGTAAAAAATATTTATCCGATAAGTATCGTATAAATAAGTAAAATATTAAGACAATGACCAGAGTTGTGAGTAAACAATGAAACCGGCGTAGTGATTTAATATCTAATCTATGGAAATTTATTAGTAGATGCTTAGTGAAGCATGCATTTGGGCATTTAATCATTTGCATCAAGCAATAAATTCTGGACTGTTACACCACGAAGTACCTCTAGCTCTGCCTCGTGTTATTATATTCGTAGTTCTGAAATTCAACGGCAATGCAATTGTAAATCCATTAATTTACAGCCAATAGATGACCTCGCAGTGTTCACCTTTATATTCTCGATCATAGTCACATTCGGTGATTATTTTTTCACTGGGATTAAATTCTAGCTCCCGTATCTGAAAACTTGAATATTAATGCGGTAATTACGGAATCCTAGCTGGCACTGGTCACTGTTTCTCTCTTCGACTAGACGATCAGTAAATCTATTAGGTATTAGGTATTAGGTATTAGGTATAACTTTAGCTTAACATACTATTCGACAAATATATATTGATACTTTATTGTATATAGTAGTATTATTGGACGATGGAAGAGATCCTCTCTGTTGCTCACACTCTCTGTTCTGTTTCCCCGCATACGCGGTATGCCAATCGATAACTGAGCTTCCGGCAAAGCCCTGGGATATTATTGAATCGGTGGACACACACATATACATATACATATGTAGATGTACACACATGAACGACCTTTATAGTCGTCTAATTTTTTTTATTGTCTCTATCTGATTTTTCCTTTATGTTTTAAATTAAAAAATAAATTTTATAATTAAAACAACATCTCTTGATATTGATAACTTTTATCCCGAGCTTTGTGTTAAATTAAACATTTAACAATGCATAGTGGAGTTTTTTCCCCCGTTTAATTATTGAGGATTGTAATTTTTTTTAATTGTTAATTTACCGTAAAAGTATAAAGAATAACAAGCGATTGTATAGAGCGATAACGCGTGGTTTTGGTAACATCGAAACATGAAACTTGAAGCGGGGTTCGAGGTGAAGGGACTCTCAGGATGGCGGCACATTAACTCTCTTGATAATTAATATCTTGCAGACGCGCGAAAACATGTCATTACTGGTACGTAAACGTTGTCAGCAAGAGGATTATTAGGCTGTAACATGGACGTTATCCAAAATAAATTGTTTGTTAAGTGAAAAACAAGATAATGTATTAATAGTCGTTGTGTATTACCACCGCTATTATTTTTTTAAATATTATTCAATTTTATTTGCTTGAAAAAACTCGTAAATTAAAATTATTTAATAGTATTATTCAAAGCTTCGTTTAATAATAATTACAATAAATAAATTGATGCTGAAAATTATTGTGCATAAAAAATCCTATTAACTTTTTTTAAAAAATTATAATTCCACCCGGTGTATGAAATATTTATGATTGTTGGAAGGATAATTCAAAAAGAAAGTATTATTAAATTAACAAATTTTAAATTTTAAATGCAGACGTTTGTTTGATGTTAATAATAAAATTACGAGGATAAAAACAAGACTAATGAAACCCGGGTAGAGGATAATGGAGAAAAAGTAAAGTAAGATAAGGTAAAAAAGATTATTCTGTATATTTCTTGGGGTATTTTTTTATTTATATTTTTTGCCAACAGTAAGATGAAAGGGGTCAAACGTAGAAAACCTGTAGTTTTGCGAGTCGATGAAATGGAGAACATGCTGCTCGGCAGTATTTCAATGTCGAATAATATATAACTTGAGGCAATGACGCTTTATTGCCGCAGCGATAAGTCTTTTCGAGATATACAGTAGGCGGGAGTACGTGTATAACCCAGAGTGCAAATAAACCTAATAAAAAAAAATAATAAATACTACAAACGTTAGTGTTCAAACTGCTGCGTTCAAAACTCTACTTATGTTATATTAGCCAGCTCGTTTTTTAATACCTTTTAAATGTTTTTATAATAACTTAATTACATGCTTTACACCGGGATTGAGTTTTTGACGTTAAAAAAATATTACCCCGTAAAATATCTGAGAAATACAATGTTGCAGGTTTTAATAACCAATCAATTTATGAATATATTATAATAAATTTCAAACAATTTAGTTATTTACCAGCCATAAAATTATAACGTGTATTTAAATAATAAAGCTAATAATTATTTTATTTCCTGTTGTAAGAAAACTCTTAAGTGTTGCTTACGGGAATAAACTCTAATAATTTGGCTAATGGAATTTTTAATGTCCCGGAAAGTACTTTGTAATATACATAGTTAAAGTGCGTTTTTATTTTAATTATCTTTTTTATTTTAAAAAAAGTAATTTATATCCTCTCTGACGTTAAAATGTATTCAGATAAATATTTTCGGTTATTTGTAAAATAATATGTATACACGATAGCGAATAAGAATAATAGGGAGGATTTTGCGGTATAAGTGGTGGTACTATATATATATATATATATGTAGTAGGCAGTAGTCAATGCTGACGAGCATTTCTCTTGAAAGCTCAGTATTACGAATGCCACTCCCAAAGCCGGGGCTCAGAGAAACACGCGAGCATCCACACGGGACCACCATAATTTAACTAATGGAACCCGGAACGTCATAGACTTGAAACTGTGGCTCAGAGTTGTTCGAGTTGGAATTCCACTCACACTGTTTTACTATCAGAAGTATTAGTACTCGTGATGATATTCCTACACCAGGCTCTAGATAGGATTTACTTAATTGACAGCGCGTACTAGTAACGATTAATAACAATGATATACGTCACGTCCCCGTCAACCTGATCCCACTTTGTAATTACTTTGTAATTCATATTCTCATGTATATGTCTCCCGACAGCTCTGATTACGATTGACACTCTGCTCCTGCTCCATTACGGCTCTACCACCACCCGACTTTGTCATCATAATCATAAACATAATCGTAATCATAATGATCCTATCCTCATAACAGCCCAACTCTCCCGTATAGTATATATACAGCTAAATCTATATTATAGGGCATTAATAATTTAACATCTTCATTATTCACTTGCTTATAATATTATATCATATCATATAATGTCTTTTTCTCTGATATATATTCCTTTTATGATGATAACCGTATAATTTGATATCCGCTGCGATGATAAATTTTACTATCGAGACATAAATTTTCTCATTTTATAAATTACTATTATTATTGTTATAACAAAAAATAATAATATTAATAAAAAAAATTTATATTATATATTGTATGACAAATGAGATAATTACAAGCTTTAGGAATATTTTTTATTACATCATAGCGTAAACATATCTTTGCGTTAAATTAGTGAAACTTGGCACGCGCAATATAAATCCAAAAATAACGAACAAGCTTTCCATTACACTGCCGAATGACGTGTGTGTAGAGAGAAGGCCGTAAATGTGGATGTAGATTGTAGGTTGTAATGTATTTGTGGTGTATGTAAGCAAGTAAACCAACAAGCAAGAGAATGAACCCTTTTAGGTACCTACACCACGAACCAGCTGCGTCCCAGCACGAGGTTCTACGAGAGAGTCGCATTACTCGGCAAGTATCGTTCATTGTCCGTGCTATTGTCAGCTGCCCAACACAATGGCCCCCCATGATGAACACAAGCACAACTGAGCACACCCGAAAACTGGCTCATTGTCCCTTAATTGGCCAGGAGTTTGCCAGATGACCCATCAATGAATTCACATCGATTCTATCCACTGACAATATCTATCAATTATACAATACTTTTATATGCTTACACTCCATCGGCAATCTATTTTATCACGATATAAACATTTCATAATATTTTTTCCCTCCAATTACTTTCACATTTGGTAAATTTTTAAAACCAATACCGTCCATCTTCCAAGCCCAGAATTGGAATTCCCTCCTCAGCAATTATATGCGAACAACAACCGGACCGATAATTAGTCGGCGCTTTTGCTTGCTCTGTCTTCTATTTGTTCTTCCAATATCCGCCAGACTCCTTACTACTCGTTACCATCAACTCTAAATGGACTAACTTTCATCAGAATTTCATTCTTAACGAGTGTATAACACACTTGAATCACCAGAAGCCTCGAACTGAACCTAGAGATAAAAAAAAAGTACCGCGACCACCGTTTCCCGCGAGACCAATCAGATACTTTTGTTTAGTTTCTCAAAAAACTTTATTTCCTTCAATTCCAATTCCGATAATGATTCTCGCTTTAACCATTTTCCGATTGTTCTGTACATCGAAATGTCTTGATACTTTTCCTCTAAGTC